AAAATGGGCATCATGCATCAAACAACCTGTGCATACACACTACAACAAAATGATGGGGTAGAAGGGAAACATAAACATCTACTGCAAGTTGTTAGGGCACTGATGTTTGAATCAAAGTTACCAAAATATTTTTTGGACAGCTATATTCACAGCCACACACATAATAAATATTAAGGCAAGTTCTGTTTTAAAGTGGAAAACTCCCTATGAGGTTCTGCATAAAAAATAACTAGAGTACTCAAGCTTAAGAGTTTTCGGTTGCCTATGTTTTGCTATCAATATTAACCCTCAATAAAACAAATTCGATCCTAGGGTTTTAAAATGTATTTTCTTAGGGTATGCACCCAATGCTAAGATTTATAAACTATATGACCTATCAAATAGAAAAACGGTTTTGTTAAGAGATGTCATATTTCATGAACATGTCTACCCATATCAAACACAATACTGTCAACTAGATTATCATGACACACCATTACCAGTACCAAACATCGACACACCAAACATACGCGAAAGCCAGTTACAAATTAGAGAAGAAATGTCGTCACCAGACATAAACCCCCAAGAGCCCGAAACAAAGAGAAGCACCGGAGTGAGAAGCAGGCCCACCTAGATAGAAGACTTTGTTGCCCATGTCATTTAATAACTTGTGCTCGAATCTCTCTTCCTTATGTCCACATCACCTACATATAATCATGGTTATGTTAATTTCATTACACAAGTGCCTATTATAAAGGAACCAAAATCATACAGAGATGCTAGAGATGCTAAAGAAGACAACAACTGGGTTGAGGCCATGCAGGCCGAACTGTCCACAGTAGAAGATAACAATACTTGGGAATTAATTGTACTACCTAAAGGGAAGAAAGTGATTAATTCTAAATGGGTGTATAGAATAAAATACAATGCTGACGGTTCAGTTGACAAATATAAAGTAAGGTTCGTTGCTAATGGCTACAATCAAGAGTTTGGCATAGACTATCATGATAGTTTCTTACCGATGGCCAAGATGGTCACGGTTCGATTACTTCTTGCTGTAGCAGCCGCAAATGACTGACCAGTGTACCAATTAGATATCAACAACACATATTTACATGGGTTTGTGGAAGAAGAACTATACCTAAAATCCTCAGAGGGCTACTCTAAGGCTAGTGAAGGGCAAGTCTACCATTTGACTAAGAGCTTATATGGCCTAAAGTAAGCTGGACGCCAATGGAACAAGAAGCTCACCTCAAGGCTCTAGTCTATCAGAATCACAAAATCAGAAGCCGATCACTGCCTATTAACAACAGGAACAAAAGAAAACTATGTTGTAGTCGTAGTATATGTGGATGACTTACTCATTACAGGTTCTGATGACAAAGAAATCCGTAAAGTTAAGAGCGCCCTGGATGAAGCCTTCATAGTAAAAGACTTTAGACAAGCAAAATACTTCATTGGGGTCTAAATAGTCAGATCAAAAGAAGGGATCTATATCAACTAAAGGAACTATATCAAAGACATTTTACAAGATACAGGGATGGAAGACGCGAAAGGAAGCCATGTTCCTTTGCTTTCCGGACTAAAGCTAAATGTAGAAGAATGAAAAATCTTACTTGATCTAGAGAGATACAGGCATCTAATCGGTCACTTGCTCTACCTCAACTTTACCAAACCTGACATAACATACTCCACCCAACATCTAAGTTAGTTCATGCAACAGCCTAGACGACCATATCTCGACGCTGCACTACATGTTGTCAAGTACCTAAAACAATATTCAGAACAAGGTATTTTCTTCCCAATAAGGAATGACTTTAAAGTCCAAGCCCTTTTTGACTCGGACTAGGCATTATGCCCGATGACCCGCAAATCCCTCATGGTTTTTTGCATCATTCCCGGGCCGACATTAATCTCCTGAAAAATAAAGAAGCAAACAACAGTGAGCAAGCCTTCCGCATAAGCTGGGTATAGAAGTATGTCATCTACAATGTGCGAAGTTCAATAGATAACTTATCTCATTCGAGACTTCCAATAATACCTCATCTACCCCTAATACTGAACTGTGACAACATAGTCATCGAGCACATTGCAGCAGACTGGCCTTTCATGAACGAATGAAGCATCTTGATATCGATCGTCACATAGTCCGCAATCAGGTACAAAAAGGTTTCGTCAAGACAAAACACATTACCTCGAGAGAACAACTCGCCGATCTGCTCACCAAACCCTTAGGAACTTCAGCACATCACCGACTTCTGTTCAAGATGAAACACCTGCAATAAAATAACACAAACAGATAAGAAGCAATGAGGAGCTCGAAGAGTCAGAAAGTAAATGAGCTTCATCTTAAGGGGTGGGTGAAAAATTGAAGAATCATAAGATAATAGACATGTGGATCGTCCAGGTCAATAACCTAAAATGAAGAGTCATGATTTTTTTATATTTTAAAGTGGTTAAGTTGTTATGGTGGACAACTGTAGGTCTCAGTACATTTTCGTTTTTCTCTTTTTTCCCTGTATGTATAAATACACTCAAGGTTCATTTTGCACACTACACAAGAAAGGAAATTAAAGAAAATATTAAATTTAATCTCTACCCGATTGGGTTTCTTTTCACATGCAAACAGATTTATTTAATTATTTATATTTTGTCATTATATAGACTTTTCTTTCACCGTAATTTCATAATGATCATGTTACTCTTTTCAAATTTATTGTTTTCTTACTGTTTTAATGGATAAACATGTATATACACTGTTTAAAGTAATTTAGAAAATCATATATAGAAGTATATAAATAATAAAAATCATAAAGATAGAAAATAATGTTAAAAATAAAATAGAAAATAGATAAAGGAATTGATTTCAAATTTTTATTTAAGAATTTTGAATTTGTAATGTTATAATATTAGAATTAATTGAACGACAATTCTATTCAGTTTAGGATTTTTTTTATTCTCTTACTTTTAATTTAGAAAAATATTTCAGAAAAATAGGAAGAAAGGCAAAATGCTATTTAAAATTGATAATAATTTCAATAACTTAGATTATCATATAAGTGATTAAATAAATACAAAATTTTATTAATAATATAATTATTGAAATTCGGTAGCTTTCTCATCTAAGATAAGAGGATCACGTCGTTTTTTTACGAATAACTTAATATACTATTTGTTTTTAATATTTATGAACCAATTTTATTATCAAAAATTAAAGAACGTAAATATTTATTTTTATATTTAAATTTTTTTCAAAAATATAAATTTTGTTTTTATCAAAAATTGGATCTATAGAGTTTGTAGGTAGAAATTGTTTTATATATATATATAAATTTTCTCATATAACTATAAAAATAATTCATTCCCTTATCCTTGTATGTACCACCATTATCATATCCAAACATGTTTGACCCTACCATTATCCAGAGTAGGTGCATGTCACAAATTCATCACATGCTTTTTATTTTTTATTATTTTATTATTTGGAATAACTTTAATAATTTTCTAACATTATTTCACCCATTCTATAATCATACTTTAATAATTTCATTATTTTATTTTTTGATATAATCCAAAAGTTAAAAGAGTGTTTTAAATATTAATATAAATATTCATATACTTTTAACTTTATATATATATATATACATATATAAATCCACCGAGCACAATCATACACCTACCAATCAAATGTTTCTTCTTCATTCGTTAGATTCTCTGTTTCTTTTTTCTCTAACTTACATATTGTTTATAAAACTTCCTAGGATATATGCTGTTAGTGATTATATTTTATATTATGATATATATGTTTAAGTGATAAAAAATTATATGTATGTATATATTCCATAAAGGGAATATGATCGATTAAGGTTTGTATAATAGCTCTTGTTCATGTATAACAGCTCACATTCGTGAATGACAGCTCTTGTTCATGGCCGCCGGTTCACCATTAACAAAAGGAGTCTTTCTTGGGGGCTATATATAGATATTTATACATCTAAACATACATAATATATATATATATATATATACACATATAACAAGTGGGCTAGTTGGTTCCCAGTGCTTTAACAGCTTTTCCTACCATTATGTAAAGCTTCGGCAAATGCTCTGCCTTTGTGATTCTTGTTTATAGATATTCATTATAGAACATTGTGAATTTTTTTTTAGTTCTATTTTTTGGTATCTTATCATTAAGATATTAATATGCATATGTTTGTTTCATTAATAAAATATATAAATAATATCATATTTTAAGTTTGGAATCTCTTCATTTGAAATTTGTGAAAATTTTGTAACAATAATTTTATTTTAAAGATTAAATTTTAAATCTATGTATAAAATCTGAATAAAAATATAACAAAAATTTAAATAAAAATAATAACCAATTTTTTTTAATCTAATTTAAAATAGAATTTTTTTTATTTAATTTATGATTCTTTACTTAATAGATAAGAATATAAAATCTACGATTATTTAATTAAAGAAAATAGAAACTTTGATTAAATTGTGCTCAAAATATGTAAATTATGGTTGTTTTCTAGAAGATTTGAGAATTGTACAAGAATAAAATATATTTTAATAAAACACAATGTTAAAAAGACTTTAGTAAAAGCTTTGGAATATAGTAATAATATTATTACATTCTCATTCATATACATCTATATGTATATATATATATATATATATATATATATATATATATATATATACTGGGGCATATTAGCATGAGATAAAACAAAAGAAGAGGAGAAAAGTCTTCAAAGGCCCAATAAACATCTTTCATTGTCAACGACAAACAACAAACAACAAAGATTACACAAAGACAAACAACATTTCCCGTGGGGAATTGAAACTTACAATGCTTTTATTTGCTTATTACTATTAATCCCACATTTAAAGATAAATTTTAAAAAAGCTTAGACCCAAAAAAATATTAAAAAAAAAACAAATACAGAGTATAGTTTATACCAATAAATTCCCATCTTTTTCTATATATATATATATATATATATTAAATTCTTCTACTTATTTGGTACCTTAATGTAACCCAAATGAGTAGAGTTAGAGACCTTATCAAGGGTAAGCAAATCATAAGCAATCCAACACTTCGAACTCTGTCCATGGTAAAAATACCCCAAACACTTGCAATCTTTACTGCATTTCTTTCCACACTCATCCTCTTTCAATCTTTGTCCATCATTATACTTGCTCATAAAATGATCAACCCCTTCAATTTTATAGTAATGAAAATCATTAACCTTGCAAGAATTTACCTTCTTAGCTTCACAATTCTTGCTCCAACCCAAAAACCCACTTGGAGATGGACAAGCAACACATTGATTCTCTTCACAAATCCCAAATTTACCACACCTCTCTGGTAATTGACACTCTGTTTCCCACAATGAATCTTTAGAAAATAGAGTAAAAGTCTCCTCCCATGCTCCCCAATCCACATTATCATCAAAAGTGAAGATTCTAAGGTTTCCATCAATCCCAAGCCTCAAAAATGATAATGTGGTATTGTATTTAGGCCTACTTAATATGACATTTCCACTAGTATCAGATTTCGCTACACGAAAATTTAGAGTCAAAGTGTAAGCATGGTTTGCATCAAACTCAGGAGAAGAATCAAAAGTCACATTATCTAAATACCCTTTTTTGAAACTAAACCATTGGGCCAATGAGGAGTAGAGAAGTGGGTTAGGAGAGTTTGGACTCTTGAAGTACATTGCCAATCTTTTGGGCTCCATCACTAAACTATATGGCCCATCTATATTGCTCGTCTCAGAAGCTCGACTCACAAGCTTAATGGAACCTCCAACGCGAAAAGATTGACCAACCAAGAGGGTATCAGTTGGGTAATCAAAACTTTGCCAAATGAATTTGGCCTTTGCATCATAAAGCACAATGTTGCCATTTGAGAGGATTTTGTAACCAACAACACCTTTGTTGGCAGTGTTTGTTTGCCAAGCAATTTTGCCATTTGCATGAGCAAGGACAAGATTACCATTAGGACCAAAGGTGAGGGTAGCATTTTCACCAACAGGGTTGCCCCTGTTGGCTTCCCACACCCAGCGCCTGAGTGACTCGGACCGCCGAGTGCCCAAACGAAGGGCTAGTGTGAATGCATTAGGTGTAGTGTTATAGAAACATAACTGAAATGGTTGATTGGAACGTGGTAAAGCACGATAGTCTGCACCATATTCGTGTATGTACGGACCAAATTCTCCTTGGTTGACATACTTGAATGTTTCTGAAGATGGGACTATGGATTCAACAATTGAAAAGAGGAGAGAAATAATGAAGAGAGAAAATAAGGACATGGCTATAGAAGAAGAAGAAGAAGGCATGTGAGTCAAGTGTTTTTGTGCTTTGATCTACCAATTATACATCTATATTTATACTATGTAAAAAATTATTGATGAAATTAATTTAGAATATTTTGCCTCATGTTTTCAGAAACAATCATATCATCTTTGATTTCGTTTTTCTAATATTACAAGCACAACGTTAAACAGGGTGACAATGATTCTAGCCAAGTCAATTCTACTCGTTTGATCATTTTA